CTCGGATGCTTAAGGTACATGCCAACTTTTCTCCTAAGACCCAGGAATGGAGACCAAAACCCTCAGACCTGGGACTCCAGGCCTATCTTCCTCCCTCAGACCCGGGAGTCCAGGCCTGTCTTCCTCCCTCAGACCCGGGAGTCCAGGCCTATCTTCCTCCCTCAGACCTGGGAGTCCAGGCCTATCTTCCTCCCTCAGACCTGGGAGTCCAGGCCTGTCTTCCTCCCTCAGACCCGGGAGTCCAGGCCTATCTTCCTCCCTCAGATCCGGGAGTCCAGGAGGCCTATCTTCCTCCCTCAGACCCAGGAGTTCAGGCCTGTCTTCCTCCCTCAGACCCAGGAGTTCAGGCCTGTCTTCCTCCCTCAGACCCGGGAGTCTTGTCCTCAGCCCTCATCCGTGGGTCCCAGCACAATGCTTTCCCTCCCATACAGGTGGCTCAGCTGTTGGATGTCCCTGTCTTGTTGACTGAGCAGTACCCACAAGGCCTGGGTCCCACAGTTCCTGAACTGGGTGCTCAGGGCATACAGGCCGTGAGCAAAACATGCTTCAGCATGGTGCCCCCACTGCAGCAGGAACTGGACAGACGGCCTCACCTGCAGTCGGTGCTGCTCTGTGGCATTGAGACCCAAGTCTGCATCTTGGTGAGACTCCTTGTCCTCAGGGGTCGCTAATCTAGCCCTCTCTTATCCTCTCTCCTACCCTGGGGCCCAGCTTTGCTGTGAGCCTCTCTCTGCTATTTCAGTCCTCTGTTCTGCTCTAGGGTTCTTGCTCCCTCGCTGCTACCAGCCCACTGCTGTGAAGCTCACTGACCTTTCTCTGCCCTTAGAACACGGCCCTGGACCTCCTGGACCGAGGCCTACAGGTCCATGTGGCGGTGGATGCCTGCTCTTCTCAAAGGTGAGACGGTCACTCTATGGTGAGTGGATGTTGGGGACATCTGGGGCACAGGTGTTTCCTGAGGAACCCCAGCACTCAGACATCTACTCTCCCCTAGAGGGAACCTAAATGTAACCATTGCACCAAAGTCAGTGACTTTCTTGATTTTTTTTTAAAGATTTATTCATTTTTATTATGTATACAACATTCTGCCTCCATGTATGCCTGTGAGCCAGAAGAGGGCACCAGATCGTATTTCAGATGGTTGTAAGCCACCATGTGGTTGCTGGGAATTGAACTCAGGACCTCTGGAAGACTGTGCTCTTAACCAGTGAGCCATCTCTCCAGCCCCTTTCTTGATTTTTTTAAAATAATTTATTTAATTTTATTTTATGTGCGTTAGTGTGAGGGTGTCAGATCTGCTGGAACTGGAGTTCAGATAGTTGTGAGCTGCCATGTGGGTGCTGGGATTTGAACCCAGGTCCTCTGCAAGAGCAGCCACTGTTCTTAACTGCTGAGCCATCCCTTCAGCTTCACGTGTGGCCTCTTGTTTACCTCCTGAGTCTCATGAGCCTCCCCCTCCTGTCTGGGAAGAATGTTTCCGTTGAGAGGAAACTGCCCCACAACACAGATGTGGCATGGCGTGAAAATTAAAACCTGTCCTCTCCTCCTGCTCTGTCCTCCACAGCGAGATAAACCGGCTGGTGAGCCTGGGTCGGATGCGACAGAGTGGTGTCTTCCTGTCCACCAGCGAAGCGCTGATTCTGCAGCTGGTAAAGGACTCTACCCACCCACGGTTCAAGGAGGTAAAGGCCCTTCTCAGTCACCCAGACGTAGAGAAACAGTTCCCGTCCTCCATTTCTTTTTCACTTTTGTCTTGCTGCACATTTTGCCTGTATGTATGTCTGTGCCCTACTGGTGTGTCTGCTGCTTGGTGCCCTCAGGGGCCAGAAGAGGGTATTGGGTTCCCTGAACTAGAGTTAAAGACGATTATGAGCCATCAAGTGGGTACCGGAAATCAAATCTGGGACCTCTGGAAGAGCAGCCACTAATCTTAACTGCTGAACCAAGAAACCAGCCCGCTTTTTTTTTTGTTTTTGTTTGTTTTGTTTGTTTGTTTGTTTGTTTGTTTGGATAGGGGGTTTTTCTGTGTAGCCCTGGCTGTCCTGGAGATTGCACTGTAGACCAGGCTGGTCTCAAACTCACTGAGATCTTCCTACCTCTGCCTCCCAAGTGCTAGGAATAAAGGCGTAAGGTGTGCACCATCACCACCCAGCTGCTCTTTTTTTTTAATTTTTAATGTAGTGGTGATGGAACTTAGGGCTTTAAGCCTGCTAGGGAAATTGAGCTGTATCTCCAGCCCTATTTATTTGTTTGTTTAATTTTTTTTAAAGATCTATTTATTTTTATCATGTATAAAGTGTTCTGCCTGCATGTATGCCTGCACACCAGAAGAGTGTACCAGATCCCATTATAGGTGGCCGTGAGCTACCATGTGGTTGCTGGGAATTGAACTCAGGCCCTTTGAAGGAGCAGCCAGTGCTTTTAACTTCTGAGCCATCTCTCCAGGCTGTCTAGAGGCCTCAAACTCATGATCCTCCTGCCTCCGCCTCCTTCAGCAAATCGTACTGGCGTGTGCCACCACAACTGGCTTCTTTCTTCTGTTAGTACGGGCGTGTGTGCCACGCATTGTGTGCTGGCGGTGTGTGCAGTCAGAGAACAACTTTTAGGGGTCAGTTTTTTCCTACCTCCTGGGCTCTGGGGGATTAGACTCAGGTTGGGCTAGCATCGCAGCACTTCCGCTTGCTGAGGCATCTGGCTGGCCCTCTGTCTTTTGTTTGTTTTAGTTTGGTTTTTGATTTCTTGAGACAGGGTTTCCCTGTATAACCCTGGCAGTCCTGGAACTTCTCTGTAGACCAGGCCGGCTTCAAACTGGCAGAGATCCGCCTGCTTCTGCCTCCCGAGTGCTTGGATTAAAGGCATGTGCCACCACCGCCCAGCTGTCGCTTTGCTTTTGAGATAGGGTCTCACTATGTAGGCTGTCCTTTGGAACTTAATATGGAGACCAGGGTATCCTCGTGAGGATCCACCTGCCTCTGCCTCCCGAGGTCTGGGGTTAGAGGTGTGTACCACCACAGCCTGTTGTGGCACTCTTGAGGGGTAGGCAGCAGGGTCATCCTTGGCTACTTGGTAAGTTTGAGTGGTGCTATGTTGGACCCTGTTTTCCACCCCAAAAGAAAAAGGTCATCTCATGTTCATTAACAATATAACCTGGAGCAGGACTGTGAAGAGGAGTGAAAGAATGGGAATGGGGAACCTTGAGTCCGAGACTGGGAGACTGTTCCAGGAGGTAGCTGCAGCAAAGGTCAAGAGCTAGTGCGAGTTTGCCTTCTTCCAAGAATTGTGTGTAGCTGAGTGTGGCCAACACTGGCAGGTTGGGGAGGAGAGGGAAACAGGAGCCTGGGCCACATCTTAGGAAAGATTTGGGGTTGCGCAATAGCCCAGCTAATGGGGTGCCCCAGAGCAGTCCATGGATGTTGCTGCTGTCAGGTGGCTATCTAGCCTTGGCAAGGCCCTACGCTCTATCCCAGCAACACCAACATTTATTTCTTTACAAGAAGTAAAGAAAGCCTGCGTAGGGAATGTTTGCCTGGTCCATAGAGCCCCAGAGTAAAGAAAGCCTGCGTGGGAAGTGTTTGCCTCGTCCATAGAGCCCCAAAGTAAAGAAAGCCTGCGTGAGGAGTGTTTGCCTCATCCGTAGAGCCCCAGAGTGGATAGGGTAGGAATCAGCTCCCTCTTGGTAAGACTGCATGCATGCTTTGGGGTTTATCTTCTTCCTACTAGGGAATCCCAGAGTCTACTGGAGCTGCAGGAAGAGAAAAAAAATCTCTCTTTGTTCCTAAAATCTATTTTAAAATATCTTAATAAACTTCAACTATGCTTCATTTAAAAGAAAAGAATGGGAACTGGCCGGGCAGTGGTGTCACACGCAGAGGCAGGCAGATCTCTGTGAGTTTGAGGCCAGTCTGGCCTACAAGAGCTAGTTCCAGGACAGGCTCCAAAGCTACAGAAAAACCCTGTCTCGAAAAACCGAAAAAAAAGAAAGAAAGAAAGAAAGAAAAGAAAAGAAAGAAGGAAAAAGGGAGCTGGGCCATCATCAAATGGGAATAGCCAAGGAATTTCATTGGTGGCCTGGAACAGAAGAGAGGCCAGCTTTCACGCCTCCTCCAATCAGTAGTGGGACTTAACTGGGAAGAGGCAGTGGAAATGCAGGATTTGCAGGTTTTGGTTTAGTATTCTGGAGATGCACTTGACTGAACTGGCTGGTTGACGGTAGTGGGGTTGGTTCCTCCTGTTCAACCAAGAGACACTTGTGTGAGTGAATTGAAAGTCCATGCTCACAGTGTGGGTCTGTGTGGGAACTGAGGGCTTAAAGGAATGACGAGAAGGTTGAGACTAGTGAAGAAGAGGGCTGTGTTGGCAAGAGAGCCCAAAGTACACTCATCCACCCTTAGTGGTCCAAGGCAACAGGGCAGACCAACATGGGTATGGGTTGTAGCTCAACCTGGCGAGTGTGAGGAAGAGGCCACCAAGAAACCTTTTAAGTGGTTGACTGGAGAAGTGATGCTGTCGGAATAATAAGGGGATGAAGATGAAGAGGTGCTCCTCGGATTAGATATCATGGAGATGGGAAGGACGGCTCTTGACTTCTTGACCTCTGCCTGCAGATTCAGAAGATCATTAAGGAGCCAGCCCCAGACGTCGGACTTCTAAGCTTCTTCCAAGGCAAGAACAACTCCCTGTTGCTAAACTCCAGGCCCTGACTTGAAGGAAGGACCCACCCTCCTTGTCACCCAGACGTTGATGGATGTCTTTTCCTTCATCCATGGATCCCAAGAGTGGTGCAGTCCGCCAGGAGAACTGCCCCCGTGGGGGAGGAGGCGTGGTTTTGCCTTCCTATTGGACAGTTGGTCCCGGAAATGCAAATGAGACTCCTGTTGCTGGGTGGGAATTGGCTAAGGGAAAGGTGGAGGCGGGGCTGGGCCCCGGGCCACTTCACGGAGCGGGAAAAGGAGGGGGAAGGAATGTCACAACTGGGACCCGGTCTCAGAGAATAAACATTGATGTGGCAGAGGACCGAACCATTATTGGGTTTGGGGGGCATCATAGGGGCTACAGGGGTCTGTGGGAGGAAAAAAGTGGGGTCTCTTGCAAGTGGGGTGGGGGAGGCGCCTCTTCTGAGCTCCAAGCCGGCGAGACACAGGCGAGGGTTGGCGGCGGCCACATCTGCACTGGGGGGGCCGGTGCGCATCTGCACGAGAAAGAGCTGCCGGCCAGGGTCCCCGCCACGCTGCCTGCCGCCCCCACCCCCATCGGCGCGCGCGCGCGCCCAGCCCCACTGGCTGGCAGACACGCGCTCGCGCTGCCTTTCTTGGCTGGCCCCCACGCTACCACCCCCGATTCCCCCGAGGGTCCCGCATCCGGAAAGTGAGGTGAGCGCATCCGTACCTGGTGAGAAAGGGAAAACTGAGGCACGGGGGAAAGAGGGGAATAGGGAGGAAAGGACAAGTGTATGAATGGATGGATAGATGGGATGGACAGCTGCTGCTCAGTGGTTCGTACTCGCCCAAGACGCAGAATTCTGCAGCCCCTAGGAGAGTGTTGAAACTCTACAGACGCCCCCCTCAACCTCCACCGCGTCAAACCCTCACCCAAGATTTACAGATTCCTTCCCCAATCTTGAAAGCCCTTAGAAGGCATCCTGTGTCCGCCAAGGATGCACGGACCAGTCCGATTCCATTGACAATCAGACTCACCCCACCACCACCACGGATCCTGGCAGCCCAGCCCCCTCCCAAAAGGCCTGTTGCCAGTCACCCTAGTCCAGCAGACCCTCCCCGGGGACCTAGGAGTACCAGCCATCCTCCGGAGCCCTTTGGGACTCGGGCATCGGAGCCCCGGCCCCCGCCTTCCGGATCCAGGTGTCCCCTCCGCACACCCAGCCCGAAGCCTGCGTCTCGAGGCCGCGCTCGCGTCGCCATGGCAACGGGAGTCTATTTTGCGCCGGGAACACACAGCTCCCTCCGCAGCGCCCCCCACCCACCCTGCTTAAGAGTAGGGGTCTCAAAGGGCTGGGATGGGAGGCAATGCCGTGATGGGAATTAGACAGAAGCCTGGAACAGGCGTGCAGAGATTGAGAGCCCCTGACAGAAGTACTGGGTGTGGAGACTACAAGGAGAATACAGCTCCAGGCGGGGGAGGCTGGAGATGGAGGCCCCAGACAGAGATCCGGGACAGAGCCCCAGACAGACACAGAGATGCAGAGGGACCGAAACAAGGACCCGATGGCAGAGTCGGGTTAAAAGGAGAGAGAAAACAGCCGGTTGGATGGAGGCAGGGGTCCTGACAAGAGGATGCACAGAGTGTCTATCTAGGCAGGGACCCCAGACAGCCCAGATAGAGTAGAGTTGCATGTAATGCTAAGGGGGAGCCACTCTTTCCTCTGGCAAGGATCTGGGGATTTTTCCCGGTAGCCAGGACCGGCTCCGCTTCCCTCCCTCTGCTTCTTCCACAGGTCTTCAGTTTTGCCTGGTTTCCGCATTCCTACCTCAAACTGCCTCCTAATCCCCGAGATTCCTAGGAACCCCCTCCACTTGCTCTCCAACCCCTGCCCTGATCTACTCTCCCGCTACCGCCTCCGCCACTGCCACCTGCAGACCCCACTCAGGCCATTTTAGAGGCTTTGGTCCTTGTTGGTTATGCCCTCCCTCTCTGGGTCTCACTTCTCTCACTCTCTTGCCCACCTCCCCACCCTCCCATCCCCCGCCTCTCTGTTCCTCCTTCTCTGGGTCTCCCACTCTCTTTCTTTCTCTGTCTACTTCCCATCACTATCCATCCTTCCGGTACCACCTTCCGTGGGTTTCTATCTCTTTCCTAGCTGGCTGGCTCTGTCTTCCTCTTTGTTTCTATGTTCCCCTCTTCCGGGATCCTGTTCCCCTGTCCCTTCACCAGCCTCCCCCCCACCTGCTGCTGTTCTCTTCAAGGACCCTCAGGAGGCACTCCGATCTTCCCAGCCCAGCCCACTTCCGCCATCCTAGCCAAGATTCTCCACCCCCAGCTAGCAGGGATGGGATAGGACTTGTTGGGGGCTTCCTCTCTCCAATCTGGCTCTCTTTCTCTGTACCTTGCGTCTCTCAATCCTGGGCCGGATTTGAGAACCAAGCAAGGTGAAGCAGCTGGAAGAACCGGGGGTTTGGGCCTCCCTTTCCACCCACCCCCTCTGGCTGTGGAGGAGGACATTGACTTGTGAGTGAGAACTAGAGGTTGGGGGCGGTATAGGGCTGGGGGCGGAGTAGGGAATGGGGCGGGTATGTAGGCTCCACAGGAGTTCTCACAAGCCAGCTGCAGATTCTGCACGGTTGACCCGGAGTGTGCTTGCACCTATAAGGCTGCATGACAGATAGGATGAGCCTGCCTGCCTGCCTGACTGCCTGCCTGCCTGCCTACCTGCCTGCCTGTGCCAGCGCAGGGAGCTGGCCTCGGGTGGTAATGTCTCTGGTGTGTCTTGGGTACTGAAGGCTAAAATACGTGCAAATGTTTGTATGTCCGTGTAGAGTGATGTGTGTGTGTGTCTGCACACACTCACATGCTCTGGAAGGAGGTATCGGTGTATCGCCAGGATGACACTGAGTGTCCTTGCTTTGGGACCACTGTTTAGGTGTCCTATGGTCTGTTGTCTATCGATCCTGTTAGGAGTCTGAGCAGTGTTGTATGAGGGAAACAGAGAACCAGTCCCCCTGTCTCCAGTGTCTGCACTGGCTGCTGCATCTGCAGATGGTTGTCCTCTGTCAACTCCCAGCCTTTGAGCAAGGGAGACAGCTGCCTTCCGCCCCATCAGTCCAGATGGCTTTCATTCTTTCAGCCAAATTCTCATTGTACATGTCAGTGCTCAAAGAATGAAGGGATCTATATGGCTGTGTCTGCCACTCTCAGAAAGACTGACTCTCTAGGTGTCTCTCCTCCCTTCTCTGTGTTTGGGATAAAGCCATCTAGTCTAGTACCTGGAGATTCAGGTTTACAGACTAGCCCCAAGTCCGGGCACTGTGGGGCATAAGCAACCAACAGAACCTCTTTAAAAATTTTTCTCATCTGGGGGGTGGGTGGGATATGAATATCTGCCTCTCATACCTGCTTCAACATTTCCCAAGATACAAATGTTCTCCCGAGCGTTTACATGTACCAGACACTGATTCTCAGTGCCGTAGAAAAGCAGAGATGTAGATCCAACCCTCCGCCTTCATGGACGTTCTAGTCAAGGCGTGAAAGGTGCATAGCAAGACAACATGTGCATCCCGTGACAGATGTAGAGAACTCTAGAAGACACCCAACAGGACCAGGAACCCCAGCGGGTCTGGGGCTGCTTAGTGACTTGCTGAGATGCTCGGTGAGAGGTGCTGAATGGGGCAGTGGGGGTGGTGGCTGACGGGCTGAGATCTGCCACAGAGGCAGCAGCAAGCGCTAAGGGCAAGAGAGGAGAGAATTCTTGGGCATGACCCTAGAATGGCCTAGAGAAACGATTCTCCACCCCTTTGGGCTCATGAAGGTTGCCTAAGATCGTTGGAAAACAGATATTTACATACAATTAGTAACAGTAGTGAAATTACAGGTATGAACTTATGACTTATGAAAATAATTTTAATGGTTGGGAATCACCACAACAGGAGGGGCTGTATTAAAGGGTCGCGGTGTTAGGAAGGCTGAGAAGCCCTGGCCCAGAGGAAAATGAAATGGCGAGTACTTCGGGTAGACTGAGGCAAGAAGTCAAGACAGTCTCAACAGGGAAGTTGTTGATGTCATCTGCCCATTTTGGGTTTTTTTGTTTTTTGCTTTTTTGTTTTTTGAGACAGGGTTTCTCTGTGAAACAGTCCTAGCTGTCCTGGAACTCACTCTGTAGACCAGGCTGCCCCTCAAACTCACAAATCTGCCTGTCTGTGCCTCCCAAGTGTTGGATTAAAGGGTGTGCCACATGCTGTTTGTTTTTAAAGACCGGGTCTCACTTAGTCATGATTAAGCTTGAACTCTCTACGCTTTGAACTCTGACCCCCCCTACCTCCCATGATAGCAGGCGCTATCATGCCTGCCTCCATTTTTAAAGAGATTGGGTAAAAATGTGGTTGGATGTGGAGGCACAACACACCTTTAATCCCAGCACTTGAAGGCAGAGGCAGGCAGATCTCTATGAGTTCAAGCCAACCTGGTCTATATAGTGAGTTCCAAGCACTGTTTCAAAAAACAAAACAACAAAAACGCTCAGAAAAAATGATGGAAACAGATGCGGAGACCCACAGCCAAACAGTCCTCCAGGAATCCTGCCGGAGAGGGGGAGGAAGCCAGAGAGGAGGGGATGCCACCAGAAAACCCACAGAATCAACTGACTTGGTTCATAGGGGCTCACAAAGTCTGAACCACCATCCAGAGAGTTTGCTGACCTAGGCCCTCTGTACATGTTACAGTTGTGTAACTTGGACTTCTTGTGGGGCTCCTCAGAGTGACAGCCTGAGCTGGTTTTGACTCTGTTACCTGCTTTTGGGACCCTTTCCTGCTGTCGGGCCGCCTCATCCAGCCGAGATAGGAGAGGAGGTGCCTAATCTCACTGCAACTTGATAATGCCCTGGCTGGCTCATATAAACATGGGAGGCCTGCCCTTTTCTGAAGAGAAACAGGAGAAGTGGGGCGGGGCCCGAGAGGATGCTGGGAGGGGCAGGGAGAAAAAGGAGGGAGGGAGGGGAAACTGATTGGAGTGGGCAAAAAATCGTTAATTAATTGTTCATTAAAAATTGGAAAAAACTTAAATTTACATTTAGCACCTTAAAATGTACAACTCAGTGTTGTCTGGCATATTCCCTATGTTGTGTGATGATCTCTTTTATTGTAAGAGTGTGTGTGTGTGTGTGTGTGTGTGTTATGCTCATGCACACGCACACATGTGTGCCATGGTTCACATACAGAGGTCAGAGAACAACTTTTGGGAATCCCCTTTTCCTCTTCTACCGTTTGAAACCCAGGGGATCCAATCAAGGTTGCCAGCTTAACAGTAAGCAATTTTGCCCACCGAGTCACCTTGTCTGCTCTAGTTCCAAAACATTCTCACCACTGCAAAAGGAAGCCCTCTGTGTATGAAGCCCTTCCTCCCAGCTACAATATATAACTATTAGGATTTTTGTCAGCATGGGCTTGACTATTGCTGGCATTTCATATAACTGAGCTTATATACTCTGTAACATTTCACCTCTGGCTAATTTTACTTCTCACACAGCTTCGAGATGCATTTGTGTTGTAGCTTCCGTAGCTCTGGGTGTAACTCCTCTTCCAGGCTGAGTAATAGTCTACTGTATGGATGGATCATATTAGTTTGTCCAGCCATCTGTTTGCCAGAGTCAGTTCTGCTTTCTCTTTACAATGCATAGAAATACTATAGACTTTGGTGCATGCATTTTGTATGCTCATATGTATTTAGTTCTTTGGGGGTAAACACAAAGAAGTGGAATTGCTGGTTTCTATGGTAACTTACAATTAATATGTGTGTGGTATTTAGGATTAAACCCTCAGCCTCCAGCATACTACGCAAGTGCTCTATCACTGAGCACTTGCTCACTTTTTGAGTCAGGATCTTGCTAAACTGACTAGGCTAGCCTTGAGCTCACTAAGTACTCAGGCAGGTCTTGAGTTTGCAAACTTTCTGCCTCAGCATCTCAAGCAGACTGGATGGCCACCAGATCTGTTTAAATTTTTATGTGTCACCAAACTCTTCAACCAAGTGAACCAAGCCACTTCTAAAGCAACTATAAACACCCATATGAGAGCACCCAGTAAGCCGTGAAGTAGTCTAGGCTAGAGTTTAGGGAAAAGGTCTAACCTAAGGCTGAGATGAAGGCCAGGCATGCACTCAGGAGGTAGAGGCGGAATTGGAGTTCAATGTTAGCCTTAGTTACATAGTGAGTTTGAAGCCAGCAAGGGCTCCATGGACTTTATTACAATAAAATCAAGCAAAAGGTAAGGAGAAGGAAGGACAGGAAAGCAGAGGAGTGGCTGGAAGGAGTGGAAGAGATGGAAGGCAAAAGGAGGAAGGGATGGACAGAGAGAGAGAGAGAGAGAGAGAGAGAGAGAGAGAGAGAGAGAACGCATTCATGCACCTGTAATCTCAATTCTTGGGAAGCTAAGGTAGAATGATTCACTGGTTTCCAGCTAGCCTGGGCTACATAGTTTTATGGGTCAGCCTGGATTAGAGTGAGACTCAGTGGTTTAAAAAAAAAAAGTTGAGACTCCATGTGATAGAAGAGTTGGAGCCAAATCTTAGGAAACCCCAGTACCCCAAAACCATCTCCCATACTAACTGTCTAGCACTTTGGTTGACAGTAGTTACACACACACACAGAGAGAGAGAGAGAGAGACAGACAGACAGACAGACAGACAGACAGACAGACGCAGGCATGCACAGTGGACAGAACAGAACAAATTATAAAATCACCTAATAATTTTTTCTTTAATACATTCCTCCCATCTGCTGTTTTAGTTCCTTATGGGTCTGTCACTTCTCAATGTTTCTCCTCAGTTGTCTGAAGCACACGTGACAGTTCTGTCTAGTCACTCCCTCATCTCCCTGGAAGGTCAACCCTAGACCCACAGGAAACTGTGCGCTTGCTTTGTTAGAGGTTCCACCCTTGATGCTCTTGACAGCTCGGGGAGGGTGGTCAGGACCTCAGGCATGGATCCAAGGGTTGTTTCCAGGAGTCCCTGTCCCACGCACTAGGCACAGCCTTCGTGCTGAGTCTGTGGAAGGAAGCTCCTGGGCAGCTGGTCTCTCTGGGGTTTGTCAAGATGCCATTCGAGAAGAGGGGGAGCCACTCTGAGGGGAACCACCCAGAGCCTGCCTCTGCCTGCAGCCCGGGCTCTGAACTGCTTATCCTGCCTTGTGGTGGGGCTCTGCTCTCCCGGCGGCGGCTCCCTGTTAGACTGTCTCTACACCCCCCTAACTTCTCCTGCCCACGCTGGTCTGTTCCTGACCTGCCTGGACCGTTGCCATGGAGACAGCTAAAAGACCTGCCCTTCGGACCCACCTCCCCAGTTACATTTCTCTTTTTATCACCCCCACATCGAATATGTTTCTTCCCAAACTGTGAATAGCAGTGACACTCCTGTATATGAAATCGTGCGCATGCACGTGCGCGTGCACGTGTGTGAAAGAGTTAGGGACTGTTTGGAGATATCACCAAGACAATTTTCCTTTGTAGGTTTGTTTGTTTGTCTCCGTATGTATCTTTGGTTGGCCTGAAACTTAACTCTATAGCTCAGGTTGGCCTCAAACTTCAGACAATGCTCCTGCCTCTGCCTCCAGAGTGCTGGGGTTACAGGCATGTGTCACCATACCAGGCTCCTTTTTTTTTTCTTCCCCAGTACCAGGAGGCATCTTAGGTTGTCACACAGGGACATCACCTGCACGCCTGTCAGCTGTTCTACAGGTTCATAGGACAAGACTGTATGATGACTCCCCACTTCAGTATGTGTTCCTGCACCCATGTTGAGAGCAGAGCTTAGCTCATGGCTTGGCTCTGAACTAATTTTCATATTCTCATTCCCTCTCTCTCTCTTTCTCCCTCCCTTCTCCCCTCTTTACTTCTGCCTCCTCTACTACCTTGCGACCCCACATCTTCTCTTCCCTATCCCTCTTTCTGCCCTCCCTTCTCTTTCCTTCCCTCTCTTCTTTCCCTCCTTCCTGGACTCCGCGGGTCCCTGGCTGCCGCTCACCACCCCCTCCCCACACATCTTCCTCAACTCCCCCCTCCGCCTTCTGCCTTCACACCTTCCTTCTCCGTCAAGTCCTCCCTTCGTTATAACTTCTGCAAGCCCCTCCTCCATCCCCGCCGACCTTTCTTTTCTCCCGCTTCACTCCTCTCTCGTTGCTCCCTTTGCCCTCCCCTTCCACCCCTGCAGTTCAGCTCCGGGATCCGCAGCCTGGCGTCCCGGTGCGCACCATGCGGGCCCTGCTGCTGCTCGGGAGCATCGCGCTGCTGGCCTCCGCCGCGGGTCCAGCCATGGCGCGCCCATCCAACGATACGAGCGCAGTGGCCCCGGGCCCGCTGCC